GATAGAAAGAGCATCATTTTAATATATTTTAAATATTTTAAATATTAAATGTTAATTGTAATAATAATATTTTAATATTTAATAAAATATTTTATTGTGATTAGACGGTTAAAATTAAACAATTATAATCATCACAGTATGACGCAACATTATCATCTCGTTATCTGAGGTGTTTATGTTTGGATTACAATCTTTTGGAATGTGTCACCGTCTACAGAAGGTAACCAACGTTTCGGAGGAACCTTCTGCCTCCATCTTACCCTGACTATACAGTGTCGCAACCCAAAAAATATCACAATTAAAACGCGTACTCAAATTGTTAATTGCGCATTTTTCGAGGTTTTCGACGTTTCTCAACAAAACTTCCGATCATCTCGCGAGGTTAAACTCACGTAAAAAGGAAACAGAAAAATACTAGCGATTGTGAACACGGACAGACTGATGGAAGGGCATGGAAGAAAGATGAAGCATCTCGCAAAAAGCTGTCTGCTGCACACTTCGTCTGTGAGAATCGAATCAGTTTTGTGATGCGAGGGGCCAAAACTCTAAACATTGGACACGACCTAAGGAAGTCAGGTCTGCTTTTCATTGAGGTGCGCTCCATTGCAACGCAGCAGAAAAACCTGGCACGTTCTGCTGTTCCGTGACGAAACAGTTCATTAATAATGTTAAAAGATTCTGCCTTGTCTACTGACAACCAACCCCGAACTCGTAGCAGAGTTCATAACTTGAACAACTTTCATACGTTCCGAAAGGCATGGCCAGACGGTCAGGGACATTTTCAAAATATCCCCCCTCCCCCAAAAGCACAGAGTTCGAACTGGATTTATAGGGAACAAAGGAAGGAATGGCCGATAGTGCATTATCGACGTACATTTTGAGAAAACACACAAAACTTCAAAGCCTAATGGTAACTATGTGTACCACCCGCTTTCATATTCAATAACTCTGAATTTCTTTCCTATCATTAACAACGCTGACTTCCTTAAAGACAATTACACAATTTATTTTTAAATATACACGCATTCTCTTTGACAGAAGAACTGCTTTCTGATGAACTCAAAGAGTTTCAAAAGCGTAACATTTAATTTTTTTTTAGAAACGCGACCCGCCATCTTGAACTTAAACTAATCACGAACACGAAACTACGCAACGGTAAAACCACGATGGGCTACTTTAAACGTTGAGTACACATATTTTTTCAATTGCGAACATCCCACAATTTAATGCGATTTAAAATCGCCGTTCAATCTAGGCAAATTATGAATACAACTGGTCCTAGAACCATCTTTATTACTAATTCTTTTCGAGATCTCGCTACAGAAACTTACATCCTGAAAGTTACGGTTTCACGGTCTAAAAGGGGCGAAGGACATGAATTAGTTAATTAATTAATAAGACGCATGTGTTAGTAACAAATGCAAATCGCTTACCTTGACTGCAGGCAGGAGAACTTGCGTGTCTTCGCCGACTATCAGCCGCGGAGGCTCAGTCCCTGTGGGCTGTTCCAACTGTTCCCTGAGGAGAGACACGCATTTCTCCAGGATCAAGTTGAACATCTGCAAGGACACGACAAGAGCGTTTTCCTGAACGGCTGACCGATACCCGGGTTCCAAATGGGCGGCTTCTGTAACGACCAAGAGAAGAAAGAGCTGTATCAACTCATTCGGTTTATTTTTAAACGCCAAGGAAGGAAACTACTGTGCGCGTCATTGGGCCCTATGATTCAAGGAAACAGACACTCAAACCAAGTACGAATTCGAATCTAGTACACGGTAATTATATAGTTACTCAACATCAACAAAGTATTTTTCGTAGATTTCAATAAAACTACAAATGAATCAATGTGCGTAATATATTCCCAAATTATTGCTAGAGTTGCCACGTGTTCGTCGCATTCCTCGATGACCACACCCTGGCAAAATAATTGGTCGTGGCCTCGAAGGTCTCCTGACTTCATCCTCGTGTAGAATGTCGTGAGCTTCCCGTAACAGAAACATCAGAGCAAACGTTTTCAAAATGGAGTACATGTATATCATATATTTGTCTTCAATGATAAAATACACCTCCGCAGAACATAAATTCTTTATAGTTTAAATGCGTCATGTTTGTGTTTTATAATTAAAATATATAATATAATTTTCTTTAATTACATTACAATGAAGAAATGGTATTTGCATTTTACGTGCAAGCAATTCAATACGACTCGTGTGCTTGCTTCAGGTACTTCGGAGGCCTACGCCCCGAGTCCCTCAATCAAGCCGTGTGTAATAAAAGTATTTCTTAGGAAGCTGACAGTCGGTAACTCGGGTAGTTAGGTAATAAAACAGCAAACATGATAAAAGTCTCAAGGAAGTCTAATTGTACGCAGTACTACAAAATGTCAGTATGAGAAATATAATTTTTTGTTGCAAATGACATGACTAACCCAGGGACTTACCCTGAAATTGTGATTTACCAAAATGTAGTCTACAGTTATCTTAGTGTATCGAATACGTAGATGGACAGAATATAATATAAAATATAATTTTGTTTTTAAGTATAGTGGTAAGAACCAAGGCAGATTAAGTCTTAAGGTAAGATACTTAGTAATTTAAATCTGCTACAGTATAAGGCAGCAAACTTTCTTTTAACCAATTCCGAGTCTCGACGAATCGATACATGTAAAGCATTTACAGACACGAGAAGCGCGATCCAAATTTGATAGCTCATGGCTGGCATTCGAAACAAACAGGAACCAGGTGTTGGAAAAGAAGATGCAATGTGAAGAATCAAAGCCAACATTTTGAACCTTGTGTCGTGACGAAAACAAGAGTCCAACAGAATTATCTAAATCTTTAATACAACGGGAACGTAGAAAACGATTATGATGCCTAATTAAAGTCAATTCTATTACTTTTGGTCGTAAAGGACATACCAGCAATTTCACTAACATTAATAAAAATACGATTTTAAATCATTTTTTTAAAAAAAAATATTAATGTCAGACTAAAATGTTCATGTACTGCACACATTCTGAGAGCCACGTCTCAAAGACTCTGCTGAGGCTGCCGGACTTATCACGGCGCGAAGGACGAATTTTCGTGCTGATGACCAGCGCTTGGCAGGTGGCGTTCCAGATTCTCCGCGGTCAGTAC